TTATTGGACTGGGAGCTTGTGAGTGAATTTGGAGATACCGATGGAGCACATGGTGGGAGATGGGAATGTCCTTCACTTTTACCTTTTAATGTCACGATCAATGGAAAACAAGTTGAAAAATATGTTTTGATAATTACTCTGACCGACTTTCAACTTCCTGCGCACCAGTACTTCATAGGCTCCTACGATGGTAAAAAATTTACAAATGAAAACTCAAAAGACACAATATTACGGCTGGATCATGGACCAGATACTATGGCTGGCATTACATACAATAACTTGCCAGACGGTCGACATGTTCTTATTAATTGGATGGGACGATGGGAATATGCTGGAAATACGAATTTCAGCGCTTGGAATGGACAAATAGGCATTCCTAGAGAATTAAAGTTGGTAACAGTGAATGATCAAATTCGGCTTACATCATTGCCAATTCATGAAATGGAATCATTGAGAATCAATCCAGTTCACAAGCAAAACATTAGTATCACGAATGAGTTCACATATAAAATCGCCGACAGTGAAAAGAAGAAACATTTGGCTGATATTGAAATGACGTTGGATCTGAAGGGACTTAAAAGCGGCGAAGCATTCGATATTGTGTTTTCGGGAAAAGATGATGAATTGAAAATTTCGTTTGAAGACAATGAATTTATTTTGGACCGATCACGTGCAGGAAGAATGGTTCCGATTTTCGATAATTCAACATTGGTAAACGGCAATTTTGATAATCCATTCGACGGGCCGTCAATTCCAAAAATAAATTTCTATGATCTTATCAAAGCCCCAAGAGTAAGCAATAGTTCCAATTTGAAATTGAGAATAATTATCGACACCAATGGAATCGAAATGTATGCCGATGAGGGACTAACAAGTATGAGCGCCCTTTTCTTTTCCGAAGACGGCATTGCATCAAAAATGAACATTCAAATTCATTCGGCTACGAATTCGTCTATGATTCAATTGAAAGAACTAAACGTGTATGAAATGAAAAGCATTTGGAACAATGACAACTAAAAATCGTGGACGCAAACGCAAATATTAATTCCTATTTCTTTAAGTTAAAATGTATTTCTCATATTAAAATAAATAATAAATAAAATTTAATAATACAGTTGTTTAATAGAATAGTTGATACTTGCTACTGACCTACTCTATTTGCTAGGGCGCATCAACCACGTCATCTTTTTCTTCAATGATAACGCAATGAATATAATGAGTAAAAGATTATGTATATCATTTAATTTTTAAATTACGTAATTGAATTTTTGGTAGTTCACACTGCGTGCAATGATAATTACATCAAAATATGTGTCGTTCTAAAAAGATCATGGTGTTATATAATTGATTTTGCTGTTTAGTAACTGCACAAATTTTATATTTAGAAAAATCAGAACAAGAGAAAATCGCGGAAAGAAGGTGACATTCTTCTTACCGATAAGAATGAATTTTGTATAAAATCACTGATGTCAATGTATGACATGATCTAGTCAATATTCACCTTCTTTCTTGATAGCATTATTTCGTAATGAGAAAAATTGTACTTCAATTTTAACTTGATTGAAACTTTTTAAGTTATTTCCGACAAAGTGTTTCGAATCGACATTTTTCTTATTGTGTTTTGGATGGTTTCGATTTCCAGTGCGGTTTATGATGAAGTATATCGACCTCAATTACATTATTCCCCTCCAAAAGGATGGTTAAGCGATCCAAATGGTTTAGTCTATGAAAATGGAATATATCATCAACATCATCCGAATACAACAAATGGAAAAAGTACGAACAATCATTAATCATTAAGTTACCAAGATCTATAATTCGCGTAATTTATTGGAATGGGAACTTGTGAGTGAATCCGGAGAATTCGATGGAGCGCATAATGGAAGATGGGAATGTCCTTCACTTTTACCTTTTAATGTCACGATCAATGGGTAAATCGATAAAAATGTGCTTAATTTTCGATTTTATGAATAAAAATTTCTTTTTCAGAACACAAGTTGAAAAATACGTTATGATAATCACTGTTACCGACTATCAAAACCCTGTGCACCAGAACTTCATAGTTTCCCACGATGGTGAAAAATTTACGAATGAAAACTCAAAAGACACAATATTATGGCTGGATCATGGACCGGATAGTTCAGCTGGCATTACATACAGTACATTGCCAGATGGTCGACGTATTTTTCTTAATTGGATGGGACGGTGTGAATATGCTGCAAATTCGTATCTCAGCGTTTGGAATGGACAAATGGGCATTCCTAGAGAATTAAAAATGGTAACAGTGAATGATCAAATTCGCCTGACATCATTGCCAATTCGTGAAATGAAATCTTTGAGAATCAACCCAGTTCACAAGCAAAACATTAATATCACGAATGAGTTCGTATATAAAATTGCCGACAGTGAAAAGAAGAAACATTTGGCTGATATTGAAAGATGACGAATTGAAGATTTCCTTTAAAGACTATGAATCAATTTTGGACCGATCGCGTTCAGGAAAAATCATTCCGAATTTCGATAA